ACCAATATGGAGACGCTGTGGGAAAACAGGCTGGGAGGCTGGAGGGAGGGGCGGGTAAGTGACTTGCCATCGGTCACACAGCCCTGGTACATCTAGATAAGAACACACGTCCAATGTCAATACAATACAGTGTTGCTGCTACCTTACTCGTGGGGACAGCCCTTCCGAACAGGATGGAGCTGTTGGGGGCTGGGGCACAGTCAGAATGGGAGGGTCTGAGAGTGACAAACGGTTCAACCCCAGCTCCTCACACAGTGCTGGGAGGGCCTCCCTCGGGCAGCCAGGCTGGGCTTCAGGAGGCTGAAGTGAGTCTATGAAGGCAAATCCTCACCTAAGAATTAAGGAGGGAGTGTCTTTTAAAGAATGACAGACAGAAACGTCTGGAAGCCATGGGTACAGGGCAGCTGGACCACGCCGGAGGAGACAGAGGAGCCTCAGCCCTGCGACACCTGTGTGGATGGCGTCTTTGATAAATGCAGTTTCTCACCTAGACTCCTCCACAGCCCCTGCCCCAGGCTCCCTGCTCCCCCATCCCCCTCCAATCCATTCTCCACCCAGCAGCTGGAAGCCAGTGTTTATGGCATACATCAGAGGTGTCACTCTGCAGCACAGAACCCGCTGACGGCTTCCAAACACACTTAGGGTCAAATCAGAGTCCTTACTGCGGCTCAACAGTCCCCGAATGACCCACCCCTGGCTTGCCTTTCTACACTGCATCCCACCAGCCTCTCTGGCCTCGCCTCCGTCCCTTCCGCACGGCAAGCTCATCCCACCTCAGCACCTTTGCCCCTGCTGTTCCCCCTGCTGACACTTTCTCCTAATGTCACATGGCTGACTCCAGCTTAACAGATCAAATGCCACCTCCTCCAAGAAGCCCTCCCTGACCACTGCCTGACTGTGCCCATCCCCCACTCCACCCTGTCCCATCATCCTGCCAAACTTCTTTCATAACAATAAACAATGGTAGAAAGGATTTAACTTTCTTGTTTCCATAGTGAATGCCTGTCTCCCCTACTAGACTGAGAATTCTGTGAGAACAGACATTTCGTTTCTTCTCACCACGATATTCTAGGTGCCTAGCACAGAGCCTGGCACATGAGCAGGGCCTGGTGTATATCATATCTGCTCTACTACTGAATCCAAATCTCAAGTCTAGATTGGGAGGGCGGGGACAAACAGGAGCTGCCTGCTCAGAGACCAAAGCAGTGAGCGAACTTGCTCAGGCTGAGTCAAGGAGGGTGTTGCGGACAGACAGGAAGTGGTGGCCAGAGGGGTCTTACCCTGGGCTCGTGTGGGGAGAAGAAGAAACAGTCCAGGCAAAGACAAATGAAGGGCTCAGAGACACAGCACTGGAGGCGGAAGGAGCCGAACGCCGATGATTTCCCTTATTCTGTCATTCATGTATCAAGATTCCTGTTCTCCCTGTAAAACGGTGAGGCTGGTTGGAAAGTTGCCACGGCTGCTCGAAACAGAAGGCTGGTGGTTTGGCTGTGGCAATGTCAGGGGGATAGAATAAAGTGACAAGAGGTATTTAGGGCCAGGCGTGGTGGCTCATGCCTATTACCCAGCACTTTATGAGGCTGAGGCAGGCGATCACTTGAGGTCAGGAGTTCAAGACAAGCCCAGCCAACGTGGTGAAACCTCATCTCTACTAAAAACACAAAAATTAGCCAGGCCTGGTGGTGGGCACCCATAATCCCAGCTTCTTGGGAGGCTGAGGCAGGAGAATTGATTGGACCCGGAGCGTGGAGGTTGCAGTGGGCTGAGATGGTGCCACTGCACTCCAGACTGGGTGAAAGAGTGAAACTCCCTCTCAAAAAAAAAAAAAAAAAAAAGAGAGAGAGAGAGAGATTTCGGAGGTAAGATGAGAGGACCTGGCCATGGCTGTCACAGAGATTGAGGAAGGAAAGAAAGATGACGCTCAGGTTTCTTTTTCAGGCAACCAGAAAGAGTGGGGCTCTTTCCTGAGACGGAAAATGCTGGAAGGGACCAGGCTCAGGGGGAAAAAAAGATCCTGAGTTCAGCTGAGACAGAAGCAAAGTTGTTTCTTAAAAGGAACTGTATCCTTGTTTATTGCTGCATAATGAACCTCTCCAAGACCTAGAGGCTTAAAACTACCATCATTTTGCTCAGGAACCTGCAAAGGGAGCATGGCTTGATTCCAGTTTGTCCCTGCTCCATGCAGTATCCACTGCAGTGACTCAGCTAGGGCGGGATGACCCACCTTCAAAACGGTTCACCCACAGGATTGCCAGGAGCTCAGCCAGGGCGAGGGGCCTTGGTTCCCGTCCATGTGGGCCTCTTCACAGCTGCTTGGGTTTCCTCACACCATGGCGGCTGGGTTCCAAGACTGAGTATTCCCCTCCCCCATTTTATTAACCAGCCTTGAAAGTCACATAGTATCACTTCTACCAAAGTCACAAACCCACCCAGATTCAAGGGGAGAAGGGTCAAAGTCACATTATAAGAGGAGTGTGTGGGATAGGAGATATTGTTATAGCCATTTTTCTAACAATAAGAATTTCCATTTATAGCACCAGGAACAAAGGGGCCTTTCACTCTCGTCAAAGGAGATCCTAATGTTACCCCCATTTTATAAATGGGGGTACAGAGGCTCAGACAGCTGAGCTTGTCCAAGGTGACACGATGCAGGAGTCCAGACTTGACAGTGGGTCTGTCCCACCTCCCTGTGGCTCAGACAAGAGTCAGCTTCATTTTTCTCTGTACTTCAGTGCCCAGCACAGGGTCTGGCCCTGAGTGCAGAAGTACAGGTGCTGAGCGAGAGGCTGAAATAAAAGACCGTGAGAGGCTGGCGGGGCCTCCGTCATTCCAGCCTGAGAACCTGGGAAAGCATCAAGGCAGTTGAGGCTTGACCCGGGTGCCAGAAGGTGATGTCTGCTATGAACTCCCCAGTGGCCTGGCGTCCCTGAGATGGCTGGGAAAATGCCCCCTCAGCCCTGTGCCTCTAAGACATTCTCTTTCCTGGGGCCTGGGCTGGAGGCTCCAGCACATTCCTTACATTCCAGAGCTTTCCCCTGGGAGGAAGCCTCCTTCGCGCTGGAGAGGCCTCCTGAGTGAAGATCAGGAAACCGTGTGTGTTTCAGGCTGAACAGCACCAGTTCCCCACCGGGGTCTCTGTCCCCCTGACTACTGGCTCTGCCCCTGTTATGGGTGCTTTACAGAGGAGGATCTGTTTATATGCTCAGGGCCAGGCAAGAGATGACAGTAGGGACGGGGTCACCATGACTGTGGCTTTTTGAGTACTCACATTCAGGCAGGCTCAGAGGATAAGCCAGAGCTGCGGACAGTTTGCTGTATGACTTGGTCCGGCTGCTTCCCCCCGTCCAATCCCAAGGCCACTCTGCCTCCCCCTGACCCTGCTGGTCATGCCATACCCGCCCCAGGCCAAGAGAAGCCATCAACACATGATACAGGAATTGAGAGCCCATTACATGCAGACGCTTTGCATATGCTCCCTTGTCAAATCCTGGTAACTTCATTGAAAGGGATGCAGTCATTCCCGTTTTACAGATGGAGAAACTGAGGCTCAAACAAACAGGGGAAGTCACCAGACCTAAGTCACATAACAGTGAAGGGTGGACCTGCCTGGACACCACCCACTAGAAAAGCCCAACTAGCCGGGCGCGGTGGCTCAAGCCTGTAATCCCAGCACTTTGGGAGGCTGAGGTGGGTGGATCACGAGGTCAAGAATTCAAGATCATCCTGGTCAACATGGTGAAACCCCGTCTCTACTAAAAATACAAAAAATTAGCTGGGCATGGTGGTGCGTGCCTGTAATCCCAGCTACTCAGGAGNAATCCCAGCTACTCAGGAGGCTGAGGCAGGAGAATTGCCTGAACCCAGGAGGCGGAGGTTGCGGTGAGCCGAGATCGCGCCATTGCACTCCAGCCTGGGCAACAAGAGCGAAACTCCATAAAAAAAAAAAAAAAAAAAAGAAAAGCCCAACTAGCTCTTGTTACATTCATTCAATAAAATGTTGACTGCCAACTGTGTGCCGGGCACAGTCCTGGGTGCCCACGGTACAGCTGTGAGGCGGCAGGCATCGCCCCTGCCCTTGTGGAGCTCACAGTCAGGGAGCAGGTAAATGAGCAAACAGATATGAAATCACAAATTGTGCTCAGTTCCCCGAGGCCAACAGACACCCTGCAGGGCGGAGTGACAGGAGAGAAACCAGCATAGAGAGAGAGTAACTGGGTCCGACCTTGCAAGATGGAGTCAGCATTTTTGGGTTGCGCGGCCCCATGCGTACAGCGACCACCTTGAATCCAGGTTCCCCATCCCCTAACGGTGTGACTTTGGGGAAGTTTCTTCGCCTCTCTGAGCTGCAGTGCCTTCTCCTATAAAACGGGAGTAGTGATGAGACTCTCAAACTACTTCTGAGCACTTCATGCATCAATAAGTCTAAACCATCCAGCACAGAGCCCGCATGGAGCGAGCACTGGAAAACAGCGCTGGCCACTTTAAGTCACTCCAGCTGAATGAAGGCGAGGTGTCTGGAGGCAGAACTAGAAGGAACGGCTTTGCCTATGGGAAGAGTTCACAGCATCAGCGAGCTCTTGGAATATTCTAGGTCTCAGGGGGAGATGGCTGGGGGATCCTGCATGGCCGAAAACACCAGTGTTATCAAAATAGTGACCCTTGCTGAGAGTGGCTGAGTGGAATGGAAGCCAAAGTCGTACTTTGCCCATTTTGTGGAGGACTAAGCTGAGGCTTAGGGGGGAATTCACTTGGCTTGGCCTCTGTTAAGATGAGGTAGCTCACACCTGTATTCCCAGCACTTTGGGAAGCTGAGGCGGGTGGATCAGGAGGTCAGGTGTTCAAGACCAGCCTGACCAAGATGGTGAAACCCCGACTGTACTAAAAATACAAACCATCAACACACGAAATAGGAATTGAGAGCCCATTACATGCGGACGCTTTGCATATGCTCTCTTGTCAAATCCTGGTAACTTCATTGAAGGCGACACAGTTGGTGCCCTACTATGTCAGACGCAGCTGTAAACACCAGCTCCGAAATCACCACCAAGGACTTGAAGGAGAAGAAGGAAGTTGTAGAAGAGGCGGAAAATGGAAGAGACGCCCCTGCTAACGGAAATACTGATGAGGAAAATGGGGAGCAGGAGGCTGACAATGAGGTAGATGAAGAAGAGGAAGAAGGTGGGGCGGAAGAGGAGGAGGAGGAGGAAGGTGATGGTGAGGAGGAGGATGGAGATGAAGATGAGGAGGCTGAGCCTGCTACCGTCAAGTGTGCAGGTGAAGATGCTGAGGATGACCATGTCCACACCAAGAAGCAGAAGACCGACGAGCATGACCAGACAGCAAAAACGGAAAAGTTAAACTAAAAGAAAATCAAAAAAAAGGCCGCCATAACCTATTCACCCTCCACTTCCCGTCTCAGAATCTAAACGTGGTCACCTTCGAGTAGAGAGGCCAGCCCGCCCGCCCACCACGGGCAGCGCCACCCGCAGAGGACACGACGCGCCCTCCACTACCCAACCCAAACCATGAGAATTGGCAACAGGGGAGGAAAGAAGAACCAAAACTTCCAAGGCCCTGCTTTTTCTCTTTAAAGTACTTTTAAAAGGAAATTTGCTTGTATTTTTCATTTACGTTTTATATTTTTGTACGTATTGTTAGGGTCAGCCATTTTTAATGATCCCGATGACCAAGGAGCGTTCTCTGTCCTACTTCTGACTTTACTTGTGGTGTGACCGTGTTCGTTATAATCTCAAAGGAGAAAAAAAGCCTTGTTTAAAAAAAAAAAAA